TGGACTTCCTGAGCACATTAAAACAATTCTAAACAGGGAAGAAAAAAAAAAAAATTCGGACACTAAAAACATGGTTCTGACTTTTTTTTTTTAAAGTTCCCTCTAGGAAGAGAATTTGAGTTTGTTTTATTGAGACAAAACTCTTGAGTTTAGTTGTTGTCTTTTTCTCACTGCCATTTTCTTGCTATTGCAGGTAAACCTCTTTGTGCTGCTTTCTGTGGTGTGTGTCCTCTTGAATTTAGCTGGATTTATCCTAGGCTGCCAAGGGGCCCAGTTTGTGTCCAGCGTGCCCAGGTGTGATCTGGTAAGCCGTCCTAAAACATCACTGTACACTGAGGCCGTCCCTGGACTGTGTGGCTTTCCTGGGGTGCCAGCAGGTGGCTGGCAACATCCAGCCCCAGGCAGAGTCCTAAAGTGTAACCTCAAGTCAGTAAAAGAAAGCTGCTTGCTAATTATTTTACTCAAGTTGTCAATTATTTTTTTCCAAAGCTGGGGCCAACCAGCGGAACTCCAGAACCATGGTAACGTACAGTTAGTGAATGGATGAGTTAGGTGTCCACAGTCAGTGTTTGTTTGCTCTCATTTAAAGAGGAAAAATGGATATTATCAGAATACAGGTCAGCTATCCTTTATCCTCAGCCTTGGGAGGCCAGCCGTGATTCGGCATTCAGAGTATTTCTGATATTTAGGAGATAAATGTGAGGTATCTACTATTCATTCTGTAGCACTCAGTGGAGTCTGGGATAGCAGCTATAATAGAAACTTGGTTTCCAGAGGTTTGGGGGTTTTAGAATTGTATATGAGGTTGTGGACCTTACCACCTTTGAATTTTTTTTTTTCTAATTTTTAATCGTGGTATAATACATATAACATAAAATTTATCCTAACCATTCAGTAGTGTTAAGTACATTTGCATTGTTGTGCAACCAATCTCCAGAACTCTTTTCATCTTGCAAAACTGAAACTCTCTATATATTAAGCAACAACTCCCCATTTCCTCATCCCCCAGCCCCTGGAAAACACTCTTCTACTTTCTGACGCTTTGAATTTGACTACCTTAGGTACATCATATAAGTAGAATCATACGATGTTCATTTTTTTTTTTTTTGTGACTGGCTTATTTTACTTAGCATCACGTCTTTAAATTTTACTCACATTGTAGCGTGTGTCAGAATTCCTTTCCTTTTTAAGGCTGAATGATATTCCACTGTATGTATATGACACATTTTGTTTATCCATTCATCCAACAATGGACGATTGTGTTGTTTTCTTTTGGCTATTGTGAATAATACTGCTATGAAAAGGGGTTTACAAATATCTTTGTGAGACCCTGCTTATAATCCTTTGGGGTAGATACACACAAGTGGAATTACTGGCCATTTCTAAACTTTTTTAAAAGGTTTCTTAGTAACGAATACCTCCCTGTGGAACAAGGCAAAAAAAATTTTTTTTTAAAAAGGGACTTTTTAGAAGTTGTACTAAATCTCATCTATTTGGAACTCAGTTAAGAAGCAGTCTCACCTTTTTGAAATCGGCAGGGCAAAGAAGGCCGTGATAAAGCACTTGCAGTGGGACTCAAGGACCCTCCCAGACAGGAAAATGCTTCATGGATTCCTTAAAACCTGTTGCTCTTTCTTAACAACCCTTTTACGGATTTTTGGATTTTTATCATTTCATTACTTAACAGCCTGAAGTTATGGAGTCACAGTTCTTAGAACCTTTTCTGGCTTTTAAGACCCTCTGTGATTCACCCTTGTCTCACCCTTTCACTGCCGCAGCTGACACTGCCTGTAAGTGAGCCAAAGCCTGCTTGTCATCACCCAAGCTTCTGCCCTAACTTTCTTAGCAATGCTGTCTCTGCCCTCAGAATTCCCTACCCCTTACTTCCCTATTAATCCAAGTGTTATCAGTCTTTCAAAGATTATCTCCTTCAGGAAATAGTCCCTGATCCTCACAGAAGATAATCTTCCAGAATGCTTTATCTGTACATCTCTTAGGCATTTATCCTTTTCTTTTTTGGGCTAAAGATATTTATATATCTTTCCTCCCTCTTCTTCCAGGCTGGGATCTCCCTGAGGACAGTGTCTGGTTCTCTGGTCAGCAACCCCCTAAACACTCCTTCATGTACAGAGAATTCCTAGAAAAAAAATGTGAACAAAGTTTGGTTTTCAAATTACTAATCACACGGCAAGTTAGAAGGGGCAAATTGAGTAGACACAGGCTAGAAGTGAAAAGTCATAATATATGGAAAGACAATTGGTCAAAATTATATGCAAGACATGGTTCTAGAGGCTGCAGAGAGTAGAAGGAAAAGTCAGACATCATTTCTGACCTGGAAACTTATCATGTAGCAAGAGGAGTAGGATATGCATGGCAAACACTTGATCAGTTCATGGAGGGGATGAATAAACAAAGCCCAGCTGCAGAGTAAGGAAGACTGATCAGCTACTAGAGTGAAACACAGAGCTAGGGGACACAGAAGAAGGGCCTGTATCCATGGGAAGATGGGGAAGACTGGGGAAGCCTGGAATATAGGTATTTGAGATGCACTTTGAACAGTGAGTAAAGAAGGGAGTGGATAGAAACCAAGAGAGCAGAGGATTTGGAGGATAGTGGTGGGGAGTTAGCCTAGTGGTTAGATCACTGGCAGCTCTGGATAAAACAGAAGCCAGATTGCAGGGGCTAAGAGTATAATATAATCAACTTTTTAAAGAAATTCTGTCGTTTTCTACCCTGGCTGCCCAATAGAATAACCTGGGGGAACTTTTAAAAAAATACCCAAACTCAGGCTCACATTCAGAATTCTCTAGAGTGGGGGCCTAGACATGAGTTGTTTCTTTTTCCCCCCAAAGCTTTTAAGTGTATTTTTAATTAATTTTTTTCTCACCATAAAACCAACTCTGTGATAAATTCATATTGTATAATTGTAAAAATTTGGGCAAGCCATAAAAGTATAGGACAGACTTTAAAAATCATTTGAATTCTTACTATTCTGGGGTAGCACAGTCAACTACTTGACAATTTTTTTCCTCATTTCTTTATGTATAAAAACAAATAATTTTCCCTCAATGGGACCATATCATAATTGTGTTTCATTAGGGAGACTATTTGACAAATTAAGTCTTTTGGGGAAAGGGGATGCTCTCCTTTCCTCTGTCCCTGTCTACCCACATTAGTTTCCCCAAATCCATGGTAACAGGCTGGGAAGTTCATGTTCATGTTCTTATGCTCATACAATCTTACATAAATGTGTATGGGATGGGGTTATTCGTAATTTAGTTTTCAAAAATGGGATATACTGTGTCTATTTCCCTGCATATTGTTTTTCTCTTACTTAAAGCTATAGTAGTAACAGAGCTATTTCTTTGCACAGGTTAGTTCTCTATTTTCTTGTTCTCTGTGGTGGTTTGGGTTTTGGCCACTAGAAACAATGCTGCCTGCAGAGCATCCTACATGTCCTCGTGTGGCTTTTGCCTAAGTGGGGTCAGCTCCCAGGACAGCGATTGCTCTTCAGTTTGTTTTATATTTTTGTTACACATTCAACCATTTGATGACTCTATTTTTTAAAATTGAGGTTAAATTTACAAACATTGAAATGCACAGATCTTAAGTGTGCATGTGCAGTTCATTCCGCTTTGACCAATGTATATTTTCATCTTGACAAATACACTCATGTGTACACCCCAGAAAAGATAGAGAACATTTTCAGCACTTTAGAAAGTCCTTTGGTGTTTCCTCTCAGGCAGTTTCTATTCTCTCACAGGCAGCCCTTGTTCCAGTTGCTTTTACCATAGATTAGTTTTGCCTTTTCTTGACCTTCATGTAAATGGAGTCAGATAGTATGTACCTTTTTGCATCTGACTTATTTTGCTCAGCATGAAGCTTTTGAGATTCATCTATGTTTTTGTTTTTATATCAGTTATTTGCTCTTTTTTTTTTTTGGCAGAGCAGTATTTCACTGTATAATAATGCTACAGTTTATTTTATCCATTCTCCTGTTGGTGGACATTTGGGTTGTTTCCAGTTTGGGTGTATCATGAACAAAGCTATTGTAAATATTTTTGTATTATTTTTTTGTAATAGTTTTTTTGAGGGGGCATGTTTTTATTTCTCTTGAGTAAATACATATTGGTAGAACTGCTGGGTCATGTGGTAATTGTATGTCTAACTTTATAAATAACTACTAAATAATTTTCCGAAGTGTTTGGGGAATAAATATTTTTAACTTAGAATGTATTGCCATTTCCTTTAATAAATGGCTTCTACTTACATTTTCACCCGTCACTCTCCACCAGCAACAAGTGTTTCTCTTTAAATTTTTGCCATTCTCATGGGGCTGAAGAGAGATCTCATCCTTACTTTAGTTTATAGTTCCCTAATTGCTAAAGATGGCGTTGCCATTTTTTTCGAAAATTTCTCAGAAGATTTTAATGTGCGGCTCGGGGTTGAAAACCATAATACTGAGTACTGATGAGAGAAAGTCTCAAGAGGGTCTGATGGCTTCAGGGAATAGTGTCAAGATTGAAGAATAGATGTTTTTCACTTAGGATTGGGCAGACTTGAACAGATTTGTTTGCAGATAGGTTAAAGAGAATGATGATAAAGTAGAATACATTTTTAGAAACATTGCTCAGAGGTAGGATTAAGAAGAGAGGTGAAGAATCAGAAACAGGAACTACAATGAACACAAAACACATAGTTGCCTAGAATAATTCTGTAGAGCCTCAGGGCTTCTCATATCATCTGGGCACAGTAATTGATATTCATTATCATTTGCATAATGATTAAACTTTCAAATAGTCTTGTTTAAAGGGATTAACCTTCACTCATTTGGAAAATTTTGCCATCCAGACTGGCTCACCCCAAAGATATTTCATATATTTAGATGTCTGGTGTTGTGTGAATAATACAGTCATGTATATACATCCCACACAGGCCTGGTTTCTCCCCTAACGAAATGCCTTGTATCAAGAATGGACTCATTGTGGGAAGGAAGACTTTGTAAGATGACATCTCTTCTTACCTGAGGGAGGTAAAATCCTCAGGTACAATCTTGAGGCTTACACAGTACAAGAAATAGAAATTACACTCTATCATGTCAGAAAATTGAGCTTGGTTCCTGTTTGGGTAGTAGGGGGCCTTGTGTACATGAGCAGACTGGAGACATGTGCAGAATGTATTATCTCTCTTAGCTGCTTCTTTGTTACTGCTAAATAGTGCTCTAAGTATTGAAACAGGAAGTTCTAAGCTGAAGATTTTCAAGGAGGAAGCCCATTGGGAGTAATATTTACCTGCTGTATTTAGCCTAGTGCAAGGACTGTTATTAATTATGGAAGAGGGGCCAAGAGAAAGTCAGTGATCCCCAAGAGAAAGGAAAATTTCCTACCTGCCTAGACCCTGCCTAGAGAAATTCTGTCTGAATGGCCACAGTAGTTTTCCTTTAGAAGGCAAAAATCTAGTACAGATATGAGCAGCAGAATTCATCTTCAAAAATATGAGACAACGGAAGAAAAATTCAAATACAAACAGCCTTGTGTCTGTGTTCAGGGCGTGAGAAGGGGAGTCGTGGATCTAGGTGTGGGGACATTGCTGAGGTAATGTCCATGAATAAACCAGGAAAAGACAGAGACCAAATGGGAATGAACTGGTAGACTATGGAGTCCAGCAAAGTAACTCTAGTTGCAATTCTTTGTATCACAGGCAGAATTTATATCAAAATATGGGTATCACTGTTTGATATGATAATGCATCTCTTAATGTGGTTTAAGGACAAAGAATAAAAAAATGTTACAGAATCCTTGGAGTTCTGGAAAAGGCAAAACTAATCTATGTAGGAAAAAAATCAAAAACAGTGGTTGCCTCAAGGAGGGTGTGGACAGGGATTGATGGAGAAGGAGCATGAGGAAATTAATTCTTGTGATAGAAATGTTTTCTATGTTGATAAGGGTTTGGGTTATACAGGCGTATGTGTAGCTCAAAATTCCTTGAACGGTATGCTTAAGATTTGTATATGTAAAATTTATGTGTATGTATGTAAATTTCATCTCAAAAAAAGAAAAACCACAACCAAACCAAAAACCGTTGTGTAATCCAGTAGTGGAATTTTTTTCCTTTAGCTTCCTAGTCAGCTTGTGTTATAAGGAACTAAATTTTCTCCTAATTTGGAAAAATGCATGAAACTTATTACCATGACTAGAAGGTAAGAATCTTAGTAAGAAAAAATTTTTTTCTGTTTAGTAACTAAAGCATTGTAGATGTTCATTCTTAAAGATTACTGAAGAATTTTGCAGTTAGTGAAGTCAAAGCTGCCTGATTAATTTAACAAGTATGAAAGAGGCGTGGCCTCTTTTTTTTTTTAGCTGAGACGGAATAGTCAATTTCAACAGCTCAAGCAGCAGAGCAAGCAAGAACAAACCTCTGCCCCCAAATTATGGGTTTGATGAGCCATAATCAGGTGTTACATATTTTCACAACCTAACTCAAGAGGAACTTGGAAAAGTGACCAAAAGTTTGCAAAGCATCTCACTATATGAGATGAGTGACCAAAAGTTTGCAAAGCATCTCACTAATATATATGAGATTGCTCATCAGTGATGTTATCACTTCAAAAGAGAGAGCATTGAAGATGCGAACTAAGAGATCTCTTCAAGCCTACATGGTTTAGGGCTACTCTCACCAACTAATTATACTTCATGCTTCTTAACAGGCACATGGTAGATTGAACTGTCTTGCCCTCTTGGAGTTTGGTGGGGCATTATGATTTGGTTTGGCAATGATATGTGAGCTAAAGTGATGAGTGTCATTTCCAAGAGGAAGATTTAAGCTAGAGTTACCCAAGATTTAGCAAATAAAAACACAGGACACCCAATTAAATCAGAATCTCAAATAAACAGCCAATAGTTTTTTACTGTAAACATGTCTCATGCAATATTTAGGACATATACTAAAAAATGGTCTGCTGTTGATCTGAATTCAAATTTAACTGGTCATCCTGCATTTTATCTGGCAGCCCTACTTTAAGTGCCAATGTGCAATTCATCTTGTGTTTTCCATCTCTCTCTGGCATAGTGATTATCAATCCTGAGATGGTAGATGCTCCATCAACCTGGGTCTCTAAGGAAATATGATGAGCAGAGTCTCCTGCTGACCTGTAATGGACATGCAGATATTTAAGAAATAACTTCGGTTGGTTAAGCCATCGAAAGTTTGGGGCTGGTTGTTACCATAGCATACCCCTAGCCTATCCTGACTGATACAGGCACTGCCTGACACTGAACCCTGCCATATCTTGTCCATAAGATTGGGGCTTCATAGTGTAGCCTGTTTATTTTTTCTTAATAATTAAATTATTCTTCTGTCTTTTCCTTCTTAAGGTGGACTTAGGTGAAGGCAAGATTTGCTTCTGTTGTGAAGAATTTCAACCAACCAAATGCACAGACAAAGAAAATGCCTTGAAACTCTTCCCAGTTCAGCCTTGTAGTGCGGTTCACCTTCTACTTAAGGTACCTCAAATGGATTCCACCACTCAGCAATAAATACACTGCAGAGCCCCCAGAGAAGGCTAAGTTACTTGAAATATCCCTACCCTATTACCCACCTCAAACAGTTACACTGCTGGAAGAACATATGAATGACCCCTCATCAGTGCTCAGAGACAGAACTGAATACAGAAAGAGCACAGATTGTATGTCTTTTAAATTATATACGGATGGCTTTCTTTGTGTTCAAGAAGTATAAGATAGTAAAAATGTAAAGGAGATTAAATATACACATATGTATATATGTGTATATATGTACATACATGTACTTAACATGCATGCACATATAATATAGCTACACGTATACGATGTAGCTGTTAGCAAAACCTTGAAATTGCACACCCATTTGTCATTGCTCTGATGCTCCTTTGTTGGCGTAAATGAGCTGTTGAGTGCTGCCATTCTAGGACACGTAGACTTAGGAGAGATATTGGCTAGAAAATACAAGAGAAATGCAAGCACTTTGCTTCTTGTTTAATAGGCAAAAGCTATAATAAGCAACAGAGATTAAAAACAAATGACCTCAGTTAAAGAAAAATACAAAATTAACGTTTATTAGAGAATCGGTTACAAACTGTATCCTGACTTAAGGCCCATCTTACCAGTGAGTGACAAGATCAGTTGGTGAACCAAGTCTACTACTGACGACTGTCTTTAGATCTTTGTTTTGGGTTCATTTTTTGTGGGGAAGAGGAGCCTTTGAGCAGAGAGAAGCTGACAGCTCTCTGGGTTATGCGGGATGTAAAAAAAAAAAGGCCTTCTTTCTTCGGCTTTTGGATTTTTGTTAGCTGAGTCACCCCCAAACTTTCTGAGCCAGGACTTAGCTTGGGGAAAGCCCCACGAAGGAGCCAGGGCTATGGCAACAGAAACTTTTGGAATGGCCTTTGCTGCTATTTTGAGATGTGTGTTTGGAGGAGAAAAGCCCTGTTTACACTCGGGTGGCCTGCCCCCTCCGTTGTCCCAGTTGTGTGCCCCCGGCAGCTCTGCCAATAGCTCCTGAAATAGAATCAGTGGCCACAAGTGAAGCAGCAAGCTGTCCTGGTGCGAGGCTGTGGGACGGGAGGGCTGGGAATTGATGTCACTGAGGACACCAGCTTCAGGAGGGAATCTCATTACTTTCCTGGAATAAACATCTCCAGACAGTGTTCTGATGCTTGCAAAAAGAAATATTGTAGTATCAGGTCTTTCTGGGACAGGAAGCTTCTATGATAAGTTTTGCAAATTAAGAAGTACACACTATTGCATGAGAGTGATAATAATCACCAGCATTTATTTTGGCACTTACCATGTAAGTCCTTTAATGCATTTTTTCTCATGAGACTTGGGACAATATTATTATTATTATTA